AGTTCTCCAAGACCAGCCCTTCAGCCAGATGTCTCTGTGATGCTATGAAACAATACTTGGGGGACTCATAAGTATACTCACACTTAGAATCTTATTTTAAGGCAGAAATGGAGAAAAATAAAATAAACTCCCACTCAAAAAACCGTGCATAAATCTTAATATACATAATATGGAGCCAAATCTAAATTACAAAATAGGTTACATCAGTCAGCTGTATGCAAAAGATTAGATAGTCAACTGACAAATCCTAGTCTGTTGGCACAAGCAGTTGTAGAGGCAAAGCCATGATGTTATCACTACAGAAAAGTTCAGTTTTCAGAGATTAAGGCTGAAATAAACCTATACAGGCAGAAGGACAGTTTTCTGATACGAGGCGTTTCCACTAAAAGCATCGGTACGCTACGGAACACTCCCTTAAATTCATAAAACGGAGGTTTTTAGTCACAAACTGAATTTGGGAAAAAGAACTGGGTACCACTGTATTTCACACACGCAAAAGCCAAACCCCTCAAGTAACTAATTTCATCAACCAGCAGCATTTTTCCAAAATCTTGCCCTAAACTTATTTTTCATTTTCTTCATGCCTTGCCACGTGTTTCACACAAACTTGGACACTTCTACAGCTTTCCTCCAAAAAAGATTCTACTTGGAACAGGCTTCTTGGGGACAGGTTCTACTGCCCACCATAGGCAACTGGGTGGGATATGGAAACACGTCATCTCCCCAGACTAGTATGGTCAACTTTAAGGGCATTGCTTCCAAATAGGCTATTTCTTAATCAGGTTACACCACTCATTCTGCCTATAGTAATAAAAAAAAGAAACATCTTATTGAAGTCTGCTATTGATTAATACAGAGACAACTGTTTCTCCTATGATCTCCTTGTCTTTATCTCTAAAAACCCTAGAGTCGTTGGAAGGTGTTGCCCAGCCAGGAGTATGACCCATCCTCGCACGGGCCAGTCTCATAAACTCATTCTTGTTTGTAAAGAACATGTTAGAGACAGTTGTACTTCAACACCCTCACTGAATTTGTCTGAATGTCTGTTCTGAGAGCTGTGTTCCTGTGGCACAATTTCTATTAATTACACTGTAAAAATTAATGAAGTATGTTACCTGGTAATCTAAAGACGAAATGATCAGCCACTACGTGGCAGTATCTCTTCCGCTGTATAAGAAGTCTAGCCATGAAATAGATATAGTCAGCAGGAGTAGCTCCATGATAAAACACAATAAGCCCTGGCCCTTCGGGAATATTTTCAGCACCATGAAGCTCGTAACCTGTTAGGAGTTAAAGGCATAACAGATGTCAAAGTCTGATACAATTCTATCCCGAAGGAACTAACTGCCAGCACGTTGGCAAACTGAAACCCACAGCTTTGAGAAGCGGTAAGAGTAAAGGGAGGGCTAAAAAGTCAAGAGGTGACTTGCAGCATTTACAGGAAATACAAGTTTCATTTAAAGCAGAAGAGACACATTTAAAGAAAGAACAACACAAAAAAAAAACCCTGAAAACAAAACACCCAGTCTCACTGTCTAAAACTATATAATTTTTCATTGTTTTTTCAGTTCGTTGTCTTCAAGGCTGCAGAGTCCTCTGACTCAGTCATTCAAGAGAAATCAAAATAAGGACTGAAGTGGTGAAACACAATTATTTCAAGCTGTTATTCATATATTTCAAGTTCATTGCCACCAGTAACTGTGATTTGACATGACACCATCCATTGACATGTCTCCTTTTACTCCACGGTATGAAGCTTACCCTTGTTATTTCTCTCAGTTATACTTACTCCATTTTTTCTATCACTAAGTACTAAAAGCTGTTTGGGGCTTTATATGCTTA